GTGGGTGCCTCATCCTGTCCCGCCATGCCCAGTTACTGTTGGAAGGACACCCAGAAATGCAGGCAGAGGAGCAAGCTTTGGTTCTCTTTAAACATCTCTGGCCTGGAGGACTGGAACCAGGGAATAAGGTCGAGTGTGCTTACCCTGCAGCCTGGGGGGAAAAGCTGCAAAATTAATGATAATATTTCAGAAAAAGAGAAAGCAGCAATGCTGTGATGCTTTTTGTATAATACTGCACTGTAGCAGTTGAGGAACCTCAGCAACTGCCTTGAGAATGCCATACCTTCACACACATGCACAGAGTAAGTCGTATTGTGCGTACAGGAAAAGATGAATGAAGAGTGAATGGCTGCGTTGGCATAATCCTTGCTTCCTGTTTCTTTTTATATTTCCTTTGTGTTTTTTACTACTGTTTCACTGTTCAAGAAATACCTGCAAGAGTGCTCGTGTGGTTAATTGAATACTGTTGTATTTCACAGAGGATGGTAATCACAAAAAAGTGAAAGTAGAATACGTATGTTATTGGGGAGATACTGTTGTATTTCACAGAGGATGGTAATCACAGAAAAGTGAAAGTAGAATACGTATGTTATTAGGGAGATAAAGTTTATGAAGGCTGCTAGATTTGAATCAAATCATCAAAATACGCGTTTCCTTGAAACTGCTGTGGGTTTTTTCCATTCTAAGTAAACACTTTTTGACACAGTTTATGTTGCTATTCCTGGCTCTGCTGGTACAGACAAGGTGCTGACCGCTGGTCTGTTTATCACAGTGTCATGCAGTCATTCCCCTGGTGCTGTCGCTGGTGGAGTTGCATTGAGAGTGACAATAGCTGGCAATGTTAAGGGGAAAAATACTGCAGCAGACGCAGCTGGTTAATGCTGACATCTCATCCACTTTACTATGCATCCTCTTCCAAAATTTGTTAGACACTGGTGATTTAGATACTGCATCTGTTTTGCCATTGTTAAAACATTTGTTATGGAATCAGACTAAATAATGCAGGAAAACCTTAGAGTGTTTTCTGAGCATGAAATGTAACCTACCGTAACGTAATTATGGAGGCTGAAGTCAGGAGACTTGGATGCAAAATAGCGAAAGAAGGCTGGGTATTTTATATTTGGATTAGCAAGCTTGTATTTGAATTAACATGAGCTTTAAGATGAACTTTAAAAATTCTTTCCTGTTTTTGAGGTCTGCTACTCTCTGTGTTGTCATTCAGAATTACAGTTCTGCTGCCCCTGAAACACATGGGGGGTTGTGCTTGGGTTCTAAACAGGCACTTTTGTGAAGGAAAATGTATTGGAAGTGAACAGGGATGACCTGTACAGTGTGGGACAGGAATGTGGTCTCTCTCTTCTCGTAGCCTTGCTTAAAGCTTCTAGACCTGACTTCAGCGTCAGTGCAGTATTTACAGCGATCACTTGTCCTGGAATGTTCGAACCGCAAGGGAAGCAGTGAGATTTTCATTTTTGATTATTTATTGTTCCTGCCCGTATGGGAATTATATTGATTTTTTAATCATAGCAAGACAGGGAATTAAAACTGAATTGCAAAAGGGAAAGAAATTGGCAATGCATTTTTTTCCAATCTGTCCATATGGGATTTTTGTTTGTTTCCTTCTTTTGTAAGAATAGTCCTGAGGATTTTACATATTCTTTTCCTGATTTCTTCACTATAAGATAAATTCTAGTCTAATTTTGTTTGATGAATGGAGAGATTGTGAAAATAGTGTCAAAAAAGTTATTTGAATAGAAGGTTAAGTAACTGACAACTCACCTGAGTCACAGCGCGAAAAATAAGCACTGTGTAGCAGCAGCAGCCGTTCCATGTTAGGAGTTACAGAAGCTTTTCACAAAGAATCACGGAAGGGTTGAGGCTGGCAGGGAGCTCTGGAGGTCATCTGGTCCCACCAACCCCCCTGCTCAAGCAGGGTCCCCTAGGGCTGTCCAGACGGCCTTTGGATGTCTCCCAAGGAGGGAAACTCTACCACCTCTCTGGGCAGCCTGTGCCAGTGCTTAGTCACTCACATGGTGAAGAAGTGTGCCCTGATGTTCAGAGGAGACCTCCTGTGTTCCATTTGTGCCCGTTGCCTCTGGTCCTGTCACTGGGCACTGCTGAGGAGAACCTGGCTCCATCTTCTTTGCACCCTCCCTGCAGGTATTTATAGACATTAACAGATCTCCCCTGAGCCTTCTCTTCTCCAGGCCGAACAGCCCCAGCTCTCTCAACCTTTCCTCATGTTCCAGTCCCTTAACCATCTTCATGGCTCTTTGTTGAACTCTGACTTCTTAGGTCCTACTTGTTTAAAGGTGTGATACCGACTCTTCAATTCAGCTGTCGAAGTTCATGTTATGCCTGCGTTGTGTTCTCCTGGCACTCCAGGCCAAAGGGCAAGCTCTTCTGAGAGAGAAGGTCATAGAAGAACTGAGTTATCTTTGGAAGAAGCATACCCATAGATCCAAGCTTGAGTGGGCTGCAGAAGATGGTTAATGTTACTGTATTCAGAGATTATGGAGGATGCCATGTGGTCTTTGTCCCCCATGTTTTTCATTGGAGGGAGAAACACTTTTAACAAGTACCCAGAAGGAGGAAGAACAGTAATCCTCAGAAAGTCTTCCTGACACAGCTCTTAAAATTCAAGAACTAAAAATAATGCAAGCCCGTAAAAGCTGCCATCTGACAGATGGTTTCACACTGATTTTGGATAATCTTTCATCCCAAGTCTGTTGAGTTGGGCCTGAGATAGAGCTGCTGGCTGAAGGGTGGTTTCAGATTGTTGCAGGCTGTTTTGGTAGTGTGGATCCGTTTTACTATTCATTGAAGTTCTGTTGCTGAAGTACTTGCAGACTTTGGAGGCCTGCCCTTCGGGTTTTGTTAAAACTGTGAGGTCCAGGTACAGTTTCATACAGGTGGTAGGAGTGCTTAGGTGATTCTGAGAGAGTCTCTGCACGGTGGGATGGATTGAAAGACTTAGTAGTTGTTCCTTGTGTCTGATTTAAAATTATATCCTGCTGATGTATCATATTTATATCTCATACAGCAATGACCTGGAATATTCAATAGCTCCTTGAGATGTAGTAGTTCAATATTACACGCTTTTGAATTTTCAGCTACTTAATTGTTTGAAGAGTGTCTTTATTAGCCATGCTAATAAAGTTTGTTTCCTTTTTTGCACTAGGAAAAATTCTCACCTTTACCATACACTGCAGAATAGTTGTCACGGTTGAGACTGTTGAAACAAGAATTGCTTTTCGTGTTTGGGCTTGTACACAGTCCCATTTCTCAACAAGAACACACCGTATCAATACATTACTGCTTGCCATCACTCTGCTCTGTACAGATTTAGGAGTTGATAAAATGTCTTTTACCCTGACCTGAATTATTCAGAAAAATAATCTGAAAAAAGGTGATTGTACAAAGGCTGTTCTAGCAGAGAAATAAGAAGATAGGCACTACAATAATGTGATTTCTTTTCATTTTTTGGTAGAGTTTGGGACAAAGTTATTAGTGGTTCCTGCAAGATTCTCGTTTTTGTTGCTGTGGAGATATTATTAACCTTTAAAATGAAGATACTAGCACTGAATACTGCAGAAAAGATCACACAGTTTTTGGAAAATGTAAGTACTATGTTGTGCTTTGCATTACCTTTTGTGGTTTATAAAAGTGTGTTTCAGCCTTAAAGACATCTGCCGGTTGCAAACATACCATAAGATACTGTCACGTTACTTCCTGAGAATAGCGTAGTGAAGGTGGAGAGAGAATGCTCAGGGATGAGAATAATAGTTTTTTTCTATCAGGAGGTAAGCCTTTCATAGAAGGAAATGATTTTTAGGCTTTAGGGAATGTTGCCCATGTTTGTACATATTTGACAATATTCCTTGTGATACTGAAGGTTTTTTTTCTGTGACAGTAAGTGCAGATGAGGTTAGGTTAATTTTTCTGGAAGCTCCTTACAGGGTTGGTTTCTGGCACCTTTTTTGTTTGTTGCCTGAGTGTGAATCTATAGACTCAAGGTATGTCTTCTGTTGATGTAAGGATAGGATCATGAGCCTGAACCTGAAATTTCTTTCTGTGAATAGAAACGAGCGTCACAGCAGGGCTGTATGATCCCAGTGTAACCTAGGTTAGTTAGATTAGATGGGTCTGTGGTCATGGATGGCCAGTATGAGTTCTGCCTGATGTCAGGTTAGGGATGCATGAAGCGTGACATGCCTGGGTGGTCATGGTACTGTTTTGTAAAGAAAACCTTTTTGTCTAAGACCTGGAGGTAACATGGTGCATGTAGGGATGCACGTGACTGAGGGATATTGGGTTGGTAGGGCAGGGAGATGGGATTCTAGTTTTGTTTTCTTTTTTTATGAAGAGATAAAATCTGAAGTGGAAATTCAAAATCTTTATTTGAAACAAACCAGTTCAAATAAAGTACTCTGACAAGGCATTTTGCCCTGATCTTTTGTAGATTCCTCAAGATAACACTGATGCTATTGTCAGCAAAGCTGTTGATCTGTGGCGCACACACTGTGGGACTCCAGCACACTCAGTCTGAGAACTTTCTTCGCTTATGGCAGCTTGGGGGGGAAAAAAAGACCTTTGCAAAGACATTTTACCACTCTTCCCCCATCCTGATGTGATGTTCTTCATTTCCTCTTCTATGTAAAGATGCTATTAAAGCAGCTAATAGTATAGTGATCAATATGTAAATATTTTTCAGTAAATACAGATGGAACCAAGATACCTAGCGGCGGTGTGATCATGTCCAGAGTGTTCCTTGGCCAGCCAGCTACAGTATTCTGATTGCACACTGTGCTCTCTGGCTTTTGGGGAAGTAAATCTAACGCTTGAAGCAAGGTAAATAGACTTACTTGTAATTTTAAAATGTTTTTGTATGCCAGCTTATACTTGATAGTAGTTACTATTTGGAGGTGTTTTTAGGGTGAATTTACTAAATGTTAGTCTGTGGAACTCTTTGGTGAACAAGCCTGCCTTTGCTAGATATGTAAATGTACCCTATTCATACTGTAAATTTTCAGGTAAATGTTCTGGAAGAGGCTTCACAAGTTTGAGGTAGAGGACATCACAATGACCAGGGATGACATGGTTTTCTGAAGTGTCTTAAAATACTTTCTTTTGTCTGTTGGCCAGCTCTCTATGGCTGTACCTTCTCCTTTGTACTTCATAGAATGAGAGAATGGTTTGGGTTGGAAGGGACCTGCAGAGGTCATCTAGTCCAACCCCTTTGCCATTGGCAGGGACATCTTCAACTCAGTCAGGTTGCTCAGAGCCCCGTCCAACCTGGCCTTGAATGTTCCCAGGGATGGGGCCTCCACTGCCTCACTGGGCAACCCGTTCCAGTGTTTCACCAGCCTCACTGGAAAAATCTTTTTCTCTTTCCTGTCAGCCCCTTCAGGTACTGGAAGGCTGCCATAAGGTCACCCTGCAGCCTTCTCTTCTCCAGGCTGAACAGCCCCAACTCTCTCAGCCTGTCATCACAGGACAGGTGCTCCAGCCCTCGGATCATCTTTGTGGCCCTCCTCTGGACCCGCTCCAGTAGCTCCATGTCCTTCCTGTGCTGAGGGCTCCAGAGCTGGATGCAGGACTCCTGGTGAAGTCTCAGCAGAGCAGAGTAGAGGGGCAGAATCACCTCCCTCGACTTGCTGGCAACGCTGCTTTTGATGCAGCCCAAGATACGGTTGGCCTTCTGGGCTGCGAGCGCACATTGGTGGCTCATGTCCAGCTTTTCATCCATCAGGACTCCCCAGTCCTTCTTCGCAGGGCTGCTCTCAATCCCTTCATCCCCCAGCCTGTCTTGATAGCGGGGTTTGCCCCGACTCAGGTACAGGACCTTGCATTTGTCCTTGTTGAACCTCATGAGGTTCACACAGGCCCACTTCTTGAGCTTGTCCAGGTCCCTGTTCTTCTGGTGTGTCTGCTGCACCACTCAGCTTGGTGTCCTCTGCAAACTTGCTGAAGGTGTGCTCGATTTTGCTGTTGATGTCATTGATGAAAATATTAAACAAGACCGGTCCCCGTACGGACCTTTGAGGGACACCACTTCTCACTGGTGTCCATTTGGACATCAAGCCGTTACCACTACCCTCTGGCTGCGACCTTCCAAACAATTCCTTAGCCACCGAATGGCCCACCCATCAAATCCATATCTCCCCAATTTAGAGAGAAGGATGTTGTGGGGGACCGTGTCAAAGGCTTTACAGAAGTCTAGATAGATGACACCCATTGCTTTTCTCTTGCTCACTGATGCAGTCACTTCATCATAGAAAGCCACTAGATTGGTCAGGCAGGACTCGCCCTTGGTGAAGCCATGCTGGCTGTCTCAAATCACCTCCCTGGCCTCCATGTGCCTGAGCACAGCTTCTAGGAGGATCTGTTCCATGATCTTCCCAGGCACAGAGATGAGGCTGATGGATCGGTAGTTCCCAGGGTCCTCCTTTCTACCCTTTTGAAAAATGGGCACGATGTTTCCCTTCTTCCAGTCACCAGGGACTTCACCTGGCTGCCATGACTTTTCAAATATGATGGAGACTGGCTTGGCAACTACATCAGCCAGTTCCTTCAGCACTCTGGGATTCATCTCGTAAGGTCCGATAGACTTATGCCTGTTCAGGTTCCTCAGGTGGTCACGAACCTGATCTTCCCTTAGAGTGGGAGGGGCTTTACCACCCTGGTCCCCATCTTGTGGTCCGCATGCGGCGGGCTGCCCAGCTGGAAAGCAGCCAGGGAAAGGGGACTATGCTGCTGCTCTCGAGCACAGGCTTCCTTCCCACTCTTCCAGATCCGGCCTTGGTCCTGGCATTTCTTCTCTGCTTGGAAAGGACCCATCTTTGGCACATGCTCAACAGAAAGATGCCAGGTGGCTGAGAGGACACTGTGTTTGTCTAGCTTGGAGGAAAAGAGGCTAAGAGGCGACCTCATTGCTCCCTACAGCTTCCTGAGGAGGGGACATGGAGAGGGAGGTGCTGATCTCTTCTCCCTGCTGGGATCCAGCAACAAGATGTGTGGGAATGTGTCGAAGAGGCATCAGGAGAGGTTTAGACTGGTCTTTAGGAAGCATTTCTTTACCACCTAGAGAGGTGGTCAATGTCCCATGCCTGTCAGTGCCCTAGAAAGAGGCATTTGGACAATGCCCTTCGTTGTATCCTTGAACTTTTGGTCAGCCCTGGAGTGCTCAGTCCCTGCCAATTGGAGCTACTCGATTCGATTCCTTTACACCTCTGCTCATTGTTTTGCAATCTGGAACTACTTTGTTAGCATTAGGCAGGTGAGAAAACAGAATTTTTTCAAGGTAATTCTGCGAAACAGTCAGGTTAACGTATCAAGATCTCTGTATGCAGGTCAGCCTTCTAGGAGTGTCCCACTGAACTAGCAAGACTGAATTTTCCAACGTGAAGGAAAGCACGGTGAGGAAGCGCGCTTTCTGGCCTGCAAATTGAACGGTTAGAAAAACTTGGGGGTGGGGGGAAGTATGTGGATGTGCGTGGATGGACAGGACCGGGGTATCAATATTTTCTGGAGGAAAAGAATGGGATTTTTCAAAACCAGTATTGCCTGAACTGTTACTATTCACCTGCTGAGAAGGGCTGGGCTAACGCCGGGTGCTCCTGACATCACCCACAACTTCTGCCCAGACAGGACAGAAATTCAGTGACACGCACAAAGGGCCTGGAGGTTTTAGCAAAGTTTCCAAAACCCAGGTGGACAGGAGAACAAAGCGATGGGTTCTGATGTCACCGTGTCCCGATCAATGGCTTCTGTTGTCACCAAGGGATGGACTGAGATGTCTGCAAGTGATGGACTTTGATGTCACCTAGTGATGGATCGTGATGTCCCCAAGAGACAGATGGTGACCAGGCTTCCCTTGCTGCTTAGAACGGGGCGCCCAGCCCCACCCAGCCGGCTTCTGCCTGGACTCCAGTCCAGCAGTTTGTGAGGTTTGGAGTGTTGAGCGAGGCCTTGGTGCTGGTGCCATCCTTGGCGAGCTGTTCCTTGCAGCTCTCTGTGCCTGAGCCCAGAGCCATTGAAGGATTATCAGTTTCAGGCAGCTGGGGCCCCCAGGAGCCACGCTTGCAGCAGCAGAGGTGAGCTGGGGGGGAAACCTCACCCTGGGCGGCTGGCAGGGTTTCCTCCTTGAGGGACCTGAGCACTTCTTCCACCCCTCCCCGCCCTGGCCAGTGACTGTGGCCCCTCTTCCTTTTCTAGCGCAACACCGGCTGGTGCAGCGCCCGC